CTCAGGGCGGACGGACCGGTTTTGTGGGCTCTGCAGCTGAAAGGATGGTGGGAAAATCGAGTTTACTCGGTTTACTTCAAATCCAGCTGAACCGATTCCAGCAGTCATGTTCAAAGTTGGTCTGTACTTATGCTCTTCGCCATCAACATAACAGAATATATAGACATATTGTTGCTGTAGGTGTGCTGGTTCTTGCTCTCTGTACTTGAAACCAATTCCTGTACCAAAGAGGTGGTACAAATCTCAATGTCACTAGACTCTGTACTTGAAACCAATTCCTGTACCAAAGAGGTGGTACAAATCTCAATGTCACTGGCTCAAACAATTTCTAGAAAGTTTGTCCACTTCAAAAATCACCCTTCGGCGAAACCCATGGATCCGACCATGGAGCAAACTCAGCATGGACCACGGGCGGTCTTCACCACTTTCCGTCAAAAAGACGGTGGACCACAAACAAAATGGCCATGGAAAGTGTAGTGTATCGAAGTACATATACTATCAATATACATTGAATATACTTGGATCTTTCAACTATGCAGAATTTATGCCTTTGGGCTGGTTTTATGGATGAAAAGGCAGACATGTTGCATAGTTGAACAATCCAAACAAAGCTAGCTATATATTGAGTACCTTTGAGGTATCTATCGTGGTGAAGATCCTGGATCGTGGTCATCCATCGGCGGCCGGGCGCACTAGGGAGCCGTGGCCGTTTCCATCAGCTCGGCATCCACCCAAACTTCGAAACGCCTCAGAAGATCCACCACGTTAAACCCGATGTCTCGCGATTTTTTCAAGGGACATCGGTTTCAAGACATTTCATCATGGTGATGGTGGCGTCGGACCATCCGAGCCGCCGGGCCATTGAAATTCCCCTGCGGTGCCACTCCGAGAGAAGGACAAGGAGGGCAGCACGAACCTTGTCGGCGGACCCCCACCCATGAGGCTTCGGAAAGCGTCTATAGCTCGGCTGGTCGGCTTGGCACTGTTGACAGAAAACCCATCTTTTTGTACCTGGAACTCTTCAAAAGACACTGGCCAAAATATGTGCCGTTTCACAAGTTCCACATCTTCTGTAGCACGCGGATCTTTCACGCCTGTAGGTGCTTGAAGGCTGCAAGCTCTGGAGCATCCCAAAGCGTAGGCCGAAAAAAGACTTGGTGTCATTGACCTTTGAACGACTCGTCGAACCAATTGGCCCTTATCCATGGAAAATCATTGAAGGTGGCCATTTAATGGACTGTAAATGAAGTACCTGACTCTATAGATCACCCGTTCGTTAAGTCCTTCGTTTGTGGGTCTGTTGGAGGTTGGGGGAGATACAGTAAGTTTGGGTTTTAGAAAACTGAGAAACCTAGCACGACTAGACTGATGGCAAGGACATCTTCAAACATTTAAAACATGTGCCAGTGGCCAGTGTGTGTGTGTAAAGGGTCTAACGCAAAAGAGTCTAAAGAGCATCCAGCCACGGTTCCTCAAACAGGTCGAAAGATTCAAAGTTCCAAATGTATACTATACGTACCTAGAGCCCAAACAAAACCACTGCATTGATAGGAAAAGACCGTGGTTGGCGGTCAAAAATCGAGGTCACTCAGGTTCGAGGTATATGGTACTGACAGAGTTCGGAGCGTGTGGAGTTGTGAACACAGAAAAACTCCGCAAATGGCTGCTGGCAGGCCTCTTCAAAATGCATGGCAAGAATGTAATTGCGTCTACAACAATGTTCTACTTTTCAGGAACTTCGCCATTATAACTCTACAATAGTTTCTTTGAAGTGAACCATGGGGTGTTGGAAGACTGCGTGTGGAAGCATCCATGATTGGGAGTGTATACGATCCCTTCCATAAATTGACAGTTTCAAAGAGTTTAAACACCTGCACCTTCAAAGGGGTCACCAATGGAAGCCCCAGCCCACCACTAAGGAACCTCCAGACAGTACACCCCGAAAGAAGGTCCAGGCATGTTTCAACTGTCAACTCTTCCATTTCCTGTGCCGAAGGGGCTGTTCCATTGAAGCCAACACCTCGCAGTCCGGATCTCGACTCGACTCCACCGAGCAGCACGAGCGGGCAGAGTGACGTTGGATGTCTGTGTTGCCTGACAAACTGCTTGATCCATGGGGTTTTCCATGGTATTCCATGCTTTTCCATCAAACAGGCTTATTGTCAAATGCTGTTCGTGTCTTTTCGTGTTGGGACATGAATCAAATGAACGACACAAGGACCTGGACACAACACAGCGACAGGCTGATGAAGAAGTGCAAAGCCTTAGGACTCTTAGGACTATCGGATCACTGCTTTTCACCCTTCAGGTCCTTGGAAAATCGTTTCTGAGCCGCCGGGCTATAGCAACTCAAAGGCGCTGGGAAGAAGTCACTGGCCTGCAAAGCCAGACGCGGCGGACAGCAGAACTGCTCAGAAGTGTCTCCGAGTCCCGCTGTGCTGCTGTTCTATCTCAGCACTTGATGGACGGATCAAAACCAGCAGCAACAAATCATGTGCAGTCTTGATGAATTGACGCTCCCAGGTCCCAGGTTTATGTCTGCGCGCTCTTGGTCAATGAAAAAGCTGTCCTGAAAAAAGGTCTGCCCTTTGGGGCTGGGGTGATTTTTGATAACCCTAGGGCTCTTGGCGCGCATCCTCAGAAGGTACTTAGACACCCCTGGTACCCACCCCTGTCCCATCGAACCTGAGGATATATGGTTGGAAGTCTAGGCCAACAGCATCGCCTAGAGAAGAATAATTGAAAACAAGTTCTCCCAGAAGTCCGAACACGGTGTCCACCGAAATAGACACCCCACTACACCAGCGCTCTTGCACCGAAATAGACACCCCGCACTACACCAGCTAGCAGCTAGCTCAACAAAAGAAAAGCGTCTCCCCATAGGAATCGGGTGAAAGTTTGACTTGTGAAAAGGAGAGACTGGGGAAATGTGACAGACGTTTCCTGTGGGATGTTACACACACTTCCTGTCCTGATCCTCTCTTTTGTCCCCTCCAAAATTTGGTATGAGCGAATATGAACCCCCCCGGCAAATCCGACAAGAACTGAACTTGCACCATGGCAACTGTGGCACTCCCCCAAGGGTGTTGATGGCTTCAATCAACGAAAACTCCAAAACACAAAACACATTACAAAACAACAAACAACACGCAGTAGCACGCCCTTTCCTTGACCAGAACACCCAGCTGATACGCCTCCAAAATGAGATCATGGCAGGCCTCGACCTGCGAAGCTGCAACTAGAGCTGTTCGGGAACTTCAAGTGACAAGTATGGCATATCCATGCATATCCTAAGCAATGTTCGGTTGACAGCAACCGAAGCTGGGAAATTGACCTGCCTGAGTGCCTGTCCTTTCTATCCTTTCTCAGGGTGGTTACTGGTTCCTATTAGACTTGCCAATTTAACATTGATTGATGCTCAGCAAGGTTCACATGCGGCCCTTGCTGGTGCTACATCAGCAAAGGTCAACAATCAAAAAGTGATTGCAGCTGATTGCACAGGTACAGCCATCGTGAGAAAAGCAGCACTATGATGTTTTTCCCTGTCCAAAAAATTTGGACATGATGAGAAAATAACAATCTCAATCACGAATCTTCAAGCAAGAACATCTGACAATCCGACTCCCTCAGTTTTGCCGGATTTGTTTAAACTTAACCGCTTTCTTCCAACTGTGCGTTTTTAGTGCGGCGTCCCCAATCCGAAAAAAAAAAAAAGGTTTTGTTTTGCAGTTCATTTCACTTTTCCTGGGGACCAACTCCGCGTTCTTGAGAGGTCTGGAGATCCAAACTACGTGGCGAAAGATCAGCCTGCGCAATGGATGAGATCGGTTGGTCTTCAGGCAGGAAGACCACCCTGAGGCGGAGACGACTGGCACGTTTTTCGCGTTTCTGTGATTGGGGAGGATGTTGGATCAGCTTGGACCCATCACAGTGACAGCAATATAATAGCATGCAGCATATAGATTGAATTCCTAAAGTTCCGGTGGCGATTGACATGAAAACAACGGATCGTCCTTCAACATGTTGGTTTGTACTATCCAAACACAACTGATTTGGATTCTAGATAGAATTGATCGAGCGGAAGAACAAAGAAGCTTGGAGGAAAAACGATATAGTGGGTTGAGAGTAGATGGCACAATTCCCAAGGCGGGCGGTTTATATGGACCCCCATCTGTCTAGGACATGTAGGGGTACCAGTGCCATCGAGCCTCTGTAACCACTGTAAGCTTACTGAGGAAGATCTGCCCACCCAATGAAGCGAAATGAAGTGAGTGCTCGCAACAGAAGGCTTCTTCCACCATCCTTGGATGATGGGAAGACGTCTTCCACCAATGAAGTGGGAATAATTTGACATTGGAATCATAAGGGCAAACCCATCTTCCTAACGCGCAATTGGAATTATTGATAGAAGCCATTGTGTGAGTGGGAAAATGGGATTACCCTCTGGTTCATCCACCATGCAAACCTCCAAAATATACAGTATATAGGTTGCGGATGGGAACCGCTTAAAGACTTCTGACACCTCCACCTCGCCGCCAGAAAAGACAAGTGTTGTCAAGCTATGACCGGTGAAACAAGTTACTATCAGAGCCAAACTGGCCAACACCAAAGTTTAAGCACTGGACATTGGGCTAGTAATTCTTTGGACACGTCTGGATGCACTCGCACAAAATACAATCTCGTTTCGTTCATTGGCTATTGGCCCATACCTTTCGCTGAGCAAAAGAAACATGTAAAACAAAAACGTTGAAGAAGACCAACAAAAATCCCAAGGCTGCAAACGCTGGCCCCATCGAACAGCTGGCCTCAGCTCCACGTGGAATCTGCGGTAGAAGTCCTGACACACAAGGAGCACACTCTTGGCTTTCTCGTTCGAACACCCGTGGCCTGGACCCATTTGCTCGAGAGCGAGGGGAATTGCCTGGGACCCAATTCTCGCAGTTCTCGCGGGACTGGATTGGTAGTAGATGCCTGGATTCTCGCATTGCGCCAAAGGGGTGCCTGCCTGCCTCCAGTCTCTGGACGGAACATCGCGTCCCAGTCCGGTCAGTCTGTCGTTGTCGTGAGAGTTCCACGACGTTCCGGCCGTCACACCTTGCAGGTTGGATGGCCTGAACGAAGCACCAAAAGCACAAGAGTACAACCGAACAAAGGCCGTGCCGAGTACCAGTTCTGGTGAGGTTTTGGACACTCAAAGCTATAGTCTGTCTTGCATCTCTCTGGTGAGACGACGTCATCTCTCAAACCAGTCTCTCCACTGCCTGCAAGCCCTGGCACTGTCTGCGCCATATTCTCAAACGAATTCCAGTTCTCCTCCGCGGAGGTGGTAAAGCTCAGGATGGCTGGAGCCTTGGTGAGCAGATGGGCAGATTAGGACACCGAGGAGATGTATTACGATGTAATATACGTCAGTTCAAAAGTCTAGGTGACTTGCCTTGCCCAGTGGTCTTCTATAGGGACATTGGGGTGGTTTGGGGGGTCAATGTAGGCATATATTCCATACATGGAGTGTATGGGATTGGATCTCGTCCAACAAGACTTGCTTCTTGATGGAACATTTACCACCCACCTTTCAACGTTTGGATGAGGGATGCTGAGGGTCAACATGTGAACGTTCCCAAATCAAGGATCTACTGATCTATACCAATCTACTGTCATTTCACCTACAGATCATACAGTAGCAGGAAGGCTGTGGTGGATCCTCGACCAAGATCCAGTTAGTCTGACTCACAAATATGAGCGTGCCAGTGTGTATTTCAATAGGGAGAGGGTAAAATAGGACTCCTCCCACCATCACTAGGATTCCACTTCTACATCCGCAAAAACAAAACACAATCACATAACACATCATGATACGTCATGTTTGACCAGTGGGTGTCCCCTGTGGCCGTGAGCCCAACCTGAATCGTTCAGCTCGCGCGTTTCTCGGCTTCGCTTCGGAGGCTTCGCTCGGCGTCTGAGCGTCCCAAACGCCAGAAAAGGGGCCGCCCACAGCTGCGCTGAAGCTGGGAGCCACATAGGCCTCGGCGGAAGCTGAGGTTCTTCAGTGGAGCGACTCGGTGCGCAGGAGCAGATTTGGGACAAAGTTCTTTGTGGCAACCATGGAGCTGCCCGAAGACGATGGTAGGTATGGATTTGGATTTAGATGGAAGAACGAACAGGATTTACATTTAGCAAATTTCGATGGTAGACCCAAAGGCAGATTTAGATCGGAGTGGTAGGTATGGACCAACGCACATCCAGCTCTTGGATGTGGCAAAGCCATGCAAGTGCCATGGTTCGAAGTGGAAATCCTACATGAGTGATGGACGATTTGACAAGTCTCGAACAACTTGGGGATGCAACCTGGAAAAAACCACTTCTTCTTTCTAGTCTAAAACGACCAAGGGGGTCCAACCCATGTGGCATAGATTCTATTCAATAATCCTCACATGTGGCGCCTCGCTTCTCCTTGATGACTAGCACAGTCGGTCGACCTATTTCAGGATGGTGGATCAACAAGTCCTTTAAGAAAAGCCTCCAGGTTCACAAGTCGATGTGTCATACATATATATATATATACATCTTCACTTCATGCATCAAGTGTGACTCTGCACTTCATATGCATCTTCATACCTATAAAATTATTGCTAATTAGTCCCATTGGAACCCCGCAGCCAACAAACCAGACATCTGGCCAGCTTAGCCAGCCAACAAGTATACTGTAAGTCAACCACTCCGAATAAGTCAACCGCTCGGGTTCCATCCGCTGGTTTAGGAAGCTCAGATTCAGATTTCGAGACCGGAAGGCTCAGATTTTTCCGTTCGGAATCGAGGATGTGGGTGTATCGAAAGCGTGAGGAGACGCCCCAAAAACAACAAGAGGTTCTTCAAGAAGAAGAAGAAGAAGAAAAAGAAGAAGATTAAAAACAAGTGAAAAAAAGCCATTGGCCAGAAAGTTTTTGTTTACCATGATGATGCAAACACTACCAGTAGAGCTCAGATTGTATCGAATCCAAGCTGACTCACCCGGCCTGGCCTCTAAGCAGCATGATGGCCGGAGCAAGAAGCACAGGAGGACCTTCGATGGTCTCTTGCGGTGATTCATGAAGTCTCACCGAACAAATGGATTTGACATAATAGGTCAAAGATCCCTTCCCCGAAAATCAGTCAATCATGAGAGGAACACATAGGGACAGGGATAAACATTGAGATATGAACCTCAATACCATGCCCCATGTCCGTGTGCTTGACAGCCCGGTCCACGGGGCCGGTGTCCTCGTTGCACGGTGTGGGTGGGTGACGGGCTCAGCCGGCATGGCGAAACAGTCCGGCCATGCGATCAACTAAGGCCCTCGTTCCTTTCGAAGGTTTCGTAGGCCAGGGGATCTGATGCGTCAAATCTAGCTCACGGCTCGGCTCACATGCACATGCATGGACAATAAATTGGTTGGACCCACCTGAAAAGAACTGAGTCCTGCAAACATACGTAGAGATACAATATGATATAGAAATATATAAAATATTATACATATACAGCGCCCCAATACTATTTTTGTTCACTATGAACTGCATAGTCAGACTACAGCTACATTTTTACCTTGTCAACCTTGCCACAAGCGCTTCAGCACCCTGATGAATATGGAGGTGCACGCTTTCATAAGACTCAACATGACTTAACTACACACGACTATGGATGATTTCATCCCTAAGGCTCCAGTCGTCCTCCTCGGAAGGTATTCAGACCCACCCACCCCAGTCCCACCGAACCTCAGAGGGTATTTTTTAAGAGCCCAACCCAGTATTTCACATTGAAAAAGCAACACATGAATATATACATTATGTATAACTATGTGTGTTGTTGTTCTTTTTTCTGAATTCTGTTGCAGCTGTCCGCGATTTGCCTGGGCACGCACACTCACTTCGACCCCACCGTCCCGCGGAGGTGCAGCCTTCCAGAGGTGCAGCTCGCGAGGCGGAGCGACCATGGCGGTTCGAGCGCTCTTGTGCCATAGTTGAACAGTTCGATTTGCGTTCGTCTTCTTGTCTCAAGTACAGTGTTCCCACCACGGGAAGACAACTCGACCATCGATTGGTCTACCATTTGGGGGGGCAAACCACTGACCGATCCTCCAGGATGAATGTCTTGAATCTTGTCTTCCAGGGCGAAGTCTGAAATGGTTCAATTAGTTCAATTACTGAGCAAGGCCACAGTTGCACTGGTTGCACACTTCACTTGAATTCTGTCTCTTTTGTTTTGTTGACCCTGAGATAAGATTTCAAGAATATACTGCAAAGCAGCGAAATCAGATTAACTCCATTTCACGGTTTTCGTCAAAAGGGTCGGCCATCCAAGTCAGGGGCAGCCATCGGCCAAATCTGCGAGTAGGTTCGGTCTACACCAGCGCAACTTGAGGACCAACATGAGACTAAATGTAAGAAACAACAAAACGCATGAAGAACCAACAACCCATGGTAGTTAAATTTAATCTTGTTAAACACCCATGGTAGAAGACCTAGGGCCCCATGCTTGTTGGTGTAGAACACCAACGGGGGCCCCCTGTCTGGTCTCTTCTTGCGAGGATGGTGGTGCCCAGGTGTGCACGTTGCAGGGTCGAGGCAGACTGCCGGACTGCCAAGAAACGGCCCTTTGGGTGGGGGTGCCAGGGGGGGCTCAATGTAGGCTGATGTATGGCAGTCCCACCGGTCGCGTTGGGGTGGGTGGAGAGAGTGGATGGCACAAGTGACCACAAGTGACCCGTGGTATCCACCCCCCATCTGTCTAAAAGACATGCTTCTTGGGGTGCCAGTGCCACCTACTCTGAAACCACACTATCCGAATGATTTTGTCCAAAAATTGAATCCTACAAATGCCAGCAGGTGTCTGTCTTCTTGGTAGCTCTTGTGGTAGTTTGCCATGCACACCATGTCTCATGTGTGCAAATGCAATGTATTGAGTCAACCCACATAAAAACCAGTGGTCACGATGCCATACCCAACTGTTTGACACTGGTAATATTCTGTCCAGGTCTTTCCTGTTCAGAGACCTTGCAGGAAAACATTGTCCTTCAAACACATCAATAAAACTACTCCGTGATTGACACCGGTCAAATTGCGCACGGCTTTGATATGCTTTGAATGAATCAGATCTCTGATATCTACTGGTCCGTCATCTCCTCCCACCCCCCTGCGGGACTCGTCGTTTGCTCCCTCTGTGTAGTTTTTGAGTGGCAAGCGGCTGCCTCGACGGTAGAACACTCCGAAGCTCGTCACAACGGTTAGCTCCATGGACCCCAACCAAATGAGGTTGGAACAGCGACCGCGCTTCAGCGCATAGAAAAGGTACACTCTGAAAGCCACACGGTTACGTGGATGGCATGGCCTTGAAAGGAAGACATATTTCCTCTAGAACTAGGAGACCTGAAAAAGACTCCGCCCAAGTGTTCATCGACCTGAGACCACGCGTGTTGAAAAACAAAACGACGTGACTTGGGGCATTCAGGCAGTGCAACAAGAACCACCGTCAGATGCCTTGTGGTTTGGATGCCGTCAGTTCATGCTCCAGAACATTTTGGAAGGAAAACAACACAATGTTACACAAATCTTGACATTTGACTCAACCATCGGTGCCAACACCTGCTTGCCTGCGACCGCTTTGAGGGCCAAAACATGCCGGATCTGTTGCAAAAAGCAAGTGCACCAGCATCTAGCTGCCCCACTCAAATCAGCTTGTTCCTGAAGCAGTTCTTGGCGTACTGGGTCCCAGTCCAAGGTGTTTTCGGTGATCAGCTGCATTCATTCTCCAAGTCCCTGCTGGGTCGAGAAATCCACATCCAACGAAACGGGACAACGACCAACTGATGCACTGCTGGGGTTCAAATTCAGCTGCAACGACCCATGAGAATCCCTTGACAGTACATGTGAAGCACTGGATTCGTGTGGCTGTCGGTTCCTCTAGGTTACCTGTGAAGGTGACCGCACATGCCTTTGAAGACATGTGACATATATATGTATATAAACCTGCACACCGTGGCAAATATCTGGATGCCTTTTTTTGGGTGGGTTCGAAGCCAACAGGATAGAACACATGTTATGATCATGTTTCTGTTACATCATGGTTTGATCTGAAGCAACATCAAGCAACACAAATGTGCCTATGGACCTCAACCAACCAATGGTTCTGCAATCGGAATGCTTCACATCGACTGCTGCAGGCTTGGGGCCGTGTCAGTCTATGCACTTTTCAAACGTCGCTCCCTTTGTCAGCGATTTCCGTGCGGAAATGCCTTCCGCAACCATTCTGAAGATCCTGCCTGGATCACATGTTACTAGACAGCTAGACTGTTTAATTAAAACATACAATATCTAATACAATCATCAAGATGGCATATCTTGTCTTGGACTTTACTGAAAACAAAGGCTGAATAATGCAGAACACATTCCCAAACGACTTCCGTAGTCTTCAATAGATGGTGGATTCCGTGGATGATTTATATGAGCTATTTCCTCCCTGATCCAACACAGATTCAGTCCCGAGAATGAATAGAGGCAACTATAAATGCAATTATGGCTCTTACCTCAGTACCCCCCTGATCCAACACACATGTTTAGAGTCAGTGTCTATAGTAAGTAATTAAACTTCAAGCCACTGGCACTGTCAGGCTCGAATCGTCATTGGCTAGGCAAGGCAGTCTGGAAAAACGTCCCGGCCATCTGTGCTTGGACAAGCCGCTATACCAGAGCACACTTGGAAAATGATGGTACTGACCCGGTCAGTGCCCAGTGATGCCAGGTCACGTGAGCTCTTCGTTCCTTTGGCCGGTTTGGCTCAAAAGCCGTTGCACAGGGTGTGACTGAATGGTCAAGAGGGATTTGATGTACATGATCGTTCTCCGTGCCCAGAACATGATCGTTCTTGCTGAATGTCTATCACAATACATCTTATTACACAGAGCCCCTCTTTTCGGACAGGGAGCTGCATGTTGAGATGCCACAAGCACTCCCTGACTATTTGTATACCTAGACCTGCGGTAGGCTGCATCTTTTCCAGGCTCTTTGATTCTCAGCTGAATGAATCATTTCAGGCAAAAACGTGCATCCAAAAGCTAGCTACATAATTTTCAACTTCTCAGCTTTTTCATGCCGAACATCGAAAATGCCGAACGTGGGAGTTGTCCGATGGAGATGTGACATCTTGTCCGACCAGGTGTCTGGAGACCACGAGCATGGAGACCCCCGGGTGCAAACGAATGTCGGAAACAAACACATAACAAATAAAAAAGTCTTGAATTCTGGCACCTAATCTTTGTAAATGTTAGGAAAAAACACATGTGTTGTTTTTTACACATCATCACATTGGAACATGATAACGTAATATGAAATAACTGATAACGAACACATCTTCCAAACAGGCTCTGATTGTCTTAGACATGTACCCACAGGCATCAAGTACAAAGGGGTCATGTGGCATGCAACAAACCTACTGTGGTCGGTTTCACAGTATACATAGATAGATCTTCCATCCTCCTGAACATGTTTCCACAAAAGGGCACGACATATCTTGACGTGGTATTGGTGTTTAACCACCCATCTCTCGTCCCTGGCCATCCCTAGCCCCAATCAAGAAGAACGCGCAATGAAACCATTTGCAGCGTGGCAGTGCTCGAAGCATCCATGCACTGTTGACGCAGGGGTCGATCCATCCGCAAAGCTCTTTCCATTTGAGAGCCCAAAGCTCTTAGGGCGGTTCGACTGGCGCTGGGTCTTCCTCACTTCACTCCATTCTACCAGGGTTACCAGACACCAGCTAATCCAACAGCAAAGCTAAATCCCAACAAAAACGATTCAACGCTCCTTCCCCTGTCCTTTTCCGCTCCTTCAGGGGCTGCGCCCACTGGGCGCTTCAGCAATCCGAGCCACCTGCTCTCAACCACCCGAGGACTCCGGGGGTGGACCTCCCGTCTGGAGAGGTCCGGACCCCACCTGTTTGGATCCTCCAGGGGGTTTTGGGACCCGGAAACCAAAAGGGAAAACCCCGGGTGGTGCAGAAGGGCCTTGAACCTGCTGAGTGGGATGTGAGTTGTTCCTCCAAAGGATCACCTTTATCCCTCTATAGGACTCCAACTAACCCCTGAGAAGGTGCTTATAATGGGAGGAGGGTCGAAATACCTTCTAAAACCGGTCGAATGACTGCTCGCACTTTTGAGTTTTGCGACATGGCATCACTGGCAATGACGTCCTTCCTGATCGCTCCGTTTGATTTTATAAATAAACCGGTGACAAACTCTTATTTTGATCAGTACGCCCGCGACTTTGACATCGATGAAGGCAATGAACTCCCTAATGTAAACACTTGATTATTCTCTCCCACATTTGGATGCGTAAAACCATGTAACACCTCTATATGGTGAGTTACATTGATGCAGTCTACATTACTTCGGTGACTCAGTCACCTCGTCCACATCACTTCGGCAGCTCCAGTACGCTCTAGTGCTCCGTTTCGGCGCCTCTTCTCCCCAGGCAGTCCACGCTTCACGGCCCGCAGAGGTCCGCGTCACCTGCGCGGTCCGTCGAGTTCGCGCGGACCCAGAGGACAAAGGCCGCTGCGAACTGGAGCCCTGTGTGCCGAGCTGAGCTGAGCCTTGTTGAGGTATTGCTCCTTGGTGAGCTTACCTTGGTGAGCTTGACGGCCAAATGGCCACTTTGGCCGGGGTGGGAGGCCGAAGCTGAAAAAGCCGTTGCTCAAGACATGAACAAGAGGAGAACGTAAGACATGAAAATCGCTACAGAAGAAAGAAGCACTCCGGGCCTATCTCCAGTCTGCGACTGGAGGGAG